ATGAATATCAATAATTTGATTTGTATAGTTCGTCAAACATTTTTTTTACCAATGCTTATTTGACCTTGATTAAAAATAATTAGTGCTAATTTTATTCAAACTTTAAATATATTTTGCATACAGACTCCAGTTTGTAATGCATCTTCTGACCGCGTAAGAATTGTATTTGCTGGTGAAATGTCAACTTATCTAAACTTATTAAGGTATCAAAATAATTTTTTAATTGTTATCTTTATTCATTCTAACAATTTCCATTTTGCAACAAAAGTAAAGATTTGTCTTATTCCTAAAGCAATACAACTGGCATCATCAAGTTGAACTTTTAAAATGTCTAATTTTAAATGCTAAAATATTAGTTTAGTTTAAGTATTTATGCTAGTAACTTTGTTGACCTTTTATAAACTCTAACAGATCAGTGATTGAAGAATCAGTAAGTGATGTCCTCGGTAATGAACTCTGTGGAATTGCTATAAAAGTTGCACAATTTTTAGAAGAACAAAAAAGACAGGCAAGCTTTCTAATTAAAATTGTAAAATTTTTAACCCTTTTTTATTTAATATTAGAAGCAAAACTTTAAATTGTTAAACTTTTATTTTAGATTCTGATGACTACGCCTGTTCCCATTTCAACGTCAACTACACCATCGCCAACTCATTTATTGTACTTTGGTGATTCAGTCCATTGGTCATTTCAAGAAAAGCCTACGGAAAGTGCTGAAAATGCAAATGCCTTATACGAAACATCTGAAGAAGTAAGATTAAAGTTGAAGGATGCATTTCAGAAGAAAAAGGAATCTGTACTTGAATGTACTGATTCTGCTCACTGAGTAGTCAATTATATTAGCAAATAAACTTCGTAAGTTTTAATAAAAGACTTTTTTTTTTATTTTAGACTTCTAATAAGTAATTCTAATTTTAGTCAGATATTGCGGAAGAAGACTTGGCAGCAAAATTTGCAGCAGATTTATGTGCTGATGATCGAGCTGATGGCACAGTCATAACTTATGATGAAGATGATAAGTATACGAAAACAAAACGTCACGTTAACTTTGATAGTACACCGGAAATTCAGAGTTTTGATTCATTGATCAAAGACGGCTTCTGGGCACCTGACTTAACGTTGATATATTCACCAAAATTCTCTGATCAGGTGATCTACACATTGTATTGATTAATACCTCAGAATTTTTCATGATATCTTAGTGTTCAATTTGCAGTTTTGATTTTTTAAAAGCATTTACTTGAAACTATGCTTTGTATCTTAAAAGTATTCCAAAATTATTTTAAAACATATCTTAGAGTATCCTTTTTAAATTCTTGAAAGCTTTTTTCTGATTTCTGAGCAATTTTTAGGTGTTTTAAAGTTGTCTGAGAAGTTTGCAAAAATGTGATACTTGTGATGAGACAAAATCTAAATCACATTTGCTATATTAACCCAAGTTCAGGATGTGATATTCGGTTTAGATGCAGGAGCAGTACTTTATGGACGAAAAGCAAGTAATGTCAACCGACCGGATATGCTTAATGTTTCAGCGTTTGGTGATCAGGTCAGTTTAGATCAAGTTTTTTGAAAATATATACTATACTTCTATATTTTACTATACTTCATACTTTTTATATATACTTTTCTTTTAAATATTTATTTATATAACAAAAGCACATTTCTATACCAATAACATTAAATTTTTGTTTATGGGGACAACATCTTTAATGGACAAGAGCTTTTTTTCTGAGTGTAGACTTGAAACATCGCAGTTCACTTGTCTAGAATTCACTGAATTTTGGTTATTATCTTTTTGGAACATTTATTTGAAGGCTGAAATGCTTTTTTTTTAGATGTTTGGCATCATCATTAGTGAATATGTACCTAACACGTTTTTTGCTCATGTTTACGATGAACGTGTGCCAATTATACGTGAAACATTACGTGCCCAGAATTTACCAAGATTCATAAAGCCAGTAGCAAAGTTTCTCTGTGGTCGTTGTGAACTTCAGTTAATAGCCAATTTAACTAGGTAAGATCATTTACAAAGATCAATCTAATTTTTTATCCATCTATGTTTCCATATAAAATTCGGTGCATACAGTATTTCTACAGTATTTCGTATAAAACTTGAGAAATTAATTTTGATATTCATCATTTTAAATTAATACAAGTTAAAAGAGATCTGTTTTAGTTATGTGATAACTTTCTAGTGAAGGTTGTCAATTCTTCCAGAAGACCTTATATTACTATCAACAAAAATGGTGTTAAAATGGATATTCAAGTTGATTTGGCAATTAGATTCTTAGCTAAAACAAAACAGCATGTTATTGTAAATGGAAATGCAGCGTTAGATATTACAGTACGTTTCTTTAATGATTTCCACTTTTACTTTTTATTCAAATACACTTTCATTCATTAATAATAAATGTTTAGAAAAGACTTATCATTGCTAAGTTAATAATTAAATATGTAAATATTATACAGATAGCTATTATATTTTGTTTACATGCGAATTTGACTCTTATTATAATGTAAGTTATAAAGTAATTTGAAGTGAAGCAGACTAAAACTTTATTCTTTCTAATTAAACTTATGCCTCAATTTAGCTTTACTCATACGCATCACATACGTGATTGCGTGATTCGTATATCACATACGTGGAAAAAACGGAAGTTTCTTTGACACAATAAGCGATATAATTTCAAAAATTAGATCTAACATTTTGAATCATTCTTATTTATTATTTAAAAAGTATCTTTTTTTAATATCTCTTATATTAAGAATTTTAGTCAATTCAAAATAAAAGCAGAGTTTCGGTAATCAAATTATTTCTGGCAATAAAACAAGTTCAAAAAATTTTTTGTTACTTTTAGGTTCGACCTTATCTGAAGCATAGTAGGCTATATGGTGATGTTGCTTTGACAAGCATTGATATAAAATTGAAGGAGGTTCAATTTTATATTAATAATTAAATAAACACAAATATATAATATATTTGGAATAAATTAATTTAATATATTAAATGTTAATACTTTGCTTTTTTTATTAAGCATAAAATTCATATTTGATATTACAAAAATTTGAATATTTGATGTTAATTTTTTACTTTTTAGATGGGAATTGGTGGAATATTTGCCAATTCTGTGCGTAAAGCATTTAATGCAATTATACCCAAAAAACTTTGGCCAGCGATTAAAAAACGCTTGCGATTCGCATTTAATCAACGAGGTAATATCATAGAAATTTTAACGATCATAATATTTAATTCACGATTAATTTTACTTCTTAATCTAATTAAATTATGTTTTTGAATATTTGAACTGATTTTGAGTAAAAAAATTAGGTATTCGATTGCCTGTGATGTGTGGAGTCGAATTGGAGAAGCCATCATTGAGTTACATCCATCATGCTATAGTTATCGATACTGATTTTAGGTTTATTATTCAAGTTTAAAACCTTTAATTTTAATTCATATAATAGTACTCAAATATCAATTTAATTTTTAATAAGTAATTAAATAATTTTTTTTCTTATTGAAATTCTACAATATTATAAATATGCATATATAAAGATGAAATATTTTAGCTATGATTTACAACGATTTGTGCGAAAATTTAAATCGTATATTCATGCAGAAGTGGCTCGAGCAAGGAAAAAAGAGTTGATGGAAAACGAAGAAGATTACTAATTAATAAGATAATTAATAATTATATATAAATTTATAAAAAATAAATTTGTCTAGAATAACTTTTGTAGAGTAAATAATAAAAATTGTGCTTTATTTTCGTACTTTGAGCAATTTTTTATTTTATAATTTATGTACAAAAATTAAATTTTATCAAAAAAAATATAAATTTAACAAATTTTAAACTATTTACTCAATGTATGAATTCAGAAAGATTGAACAAATAAGTATTCAATCCTCTTATTTTATTCATTTCAGATATATAAAAAAATTCAAATTGATATTTATATTTCCACACGAATTAGTAGCGAATTAAGCATAACAAAAAAAGATTTCCCTGAAGTTATTATTAAATAAGCATGACTAAAAGAGTAAAGTATGCATATCAGAAATGGAATACATAATCATAAATTGAATTTGAATTTTTCATGTCATTTCTTGATGAATATGCAAGGCGAAGAATATCCATCATTTCAAATTAAATTATTATTAAGCATTTAAAAACATGAAATGGTGTAATAATAGTTTTGTAAATATTAACAATAAAAATTAATCTTAAAAAAAAGGTTTTGTAAATTTGTGATTTAAAAAATCGATAAAAGAAAAAAACATTTTTATAACAATTATTTTTTTAAATATTTGTTTTCCAGTGATTGCTTTTGAAATGAAACGAAAATAATGAATTGAATTGGTGCAAAGATTTCTTCGTTAGCGTACTGATTTTATTTTACAGCATTCCTTAAAGGCCCACATATTGGTGTCATAGGTCAATCTACAAGAACGATTTGCTCAAATTACAAATCTCAATATTTAATTGCAGCTACTTCACATTAATCTGTATTTTTATATTGAATAATAAACAAATTCTGAAAATATTTGAGCGTTAATTACTAAAAAACGGAAGTAATAATATTTTTTTATTAATTAACAAAATTAAATTAACTAAGCAATGACAGTTTCCCACTATTAATAGCGCGCTAAAAAAATAGTACTGATATTTTCTGAGAAAATAATATTAGCAAAATTATTATTCCATCCCTTTCCTACATTGTTCTGATGAATTAGTAAGTGTAAATACTTTGAAAAAGTAATGTTAAAATAAGTAAGAACTTACTTCCAACATGTATTCTTGTACGATAATTGTTGAAGTGATTTGATTCCGATGGCGTACAGGAAGCATGCGGTGATAATGGAGTGGTATACGTTTGAGAATACCTGTGATTAAATTACAATAACAAGTATTTAATTTTTGAATTTAATTTGAAACAACAAACCAATAGAATATCCATCCATTTCTGATTCAAATTTAAATATTTGGAAAAGAAAAGTTTTTTGATTGTTACAGTGAATTTTTCAATTTTTCGCTGTCTCAATTTTGGTTTACTTTTCAATTTAAATAAAAATTTTACTTTTCTTTGCGAAGAAATTGCATTCCAACGTCTGTTAGAAATAGTACAGCACATAAAAATAACAAAGCCTAAAATTTTATCCCTTTAAGACATTAAGTTTGATTATATTAAATTTTATTAATTATAGAAATTGTATAAATAAATGTTTCTAAAACAATAACTGCATATATTAATAATTCAAAAGTGATGGTAGAGACGATAAAATTGAAAAATTAATTAATCGCATATCAATTAATTAATCAATTAATTCAAATTAAATTGTATTAACATCTTACTTCGTATGCAATTATTTTACTTTTCTCAAAATATTACTACAAATTTGATTACTTTTCTCTCATTTCATAAATGTTTTGACAGAAAAATAAAACAAAATCTGTGCGCTATATCACTTACTAAAATCGAAATACATAAATACTTCAGAACTTAATTTAATTTTTATTCAAATTTAATCTTTCAGTAAATATAAATTCATATCATTCATAAATCTATCTGACTTTCATTACATTTAATACAAATTAAGTAACAAAACAAGCAGCAGAATTAGCTTTTAAATAAAATAAATCAGTTATTTATTTTAGTTGTAAAAAATATTTAAATATTTGAAAAAATTTAAATAAAGTTTTTTGCTTTCTAATTTTAAAATAAGAAACAAACAGCGGCGGCAGCCCATCCTTTCACAATGAACAGTACATGACAGTTAGGTAAACCCAAACAACCGCTGAATTGTCCTCCTCCGATCTGAGTTATCAGAGGGCCCATATGCCCGAATCCTGTGGCATACCAAGTCTCTAATCCACCTAACGTCAGAAATATCAATATTGAGACTATCGATAGACATATTTGCTGCAAATTATACCAAATTTTTGAATTATAATAGCTAGAATTATTATTATTATTATTATTATTGTTATTATTATTATTGGTGTTATTGATGTTATTGTTGTTATTAATAAATAAATTAATTAATTCATCAATTTATTTTTTATTGTTTGAAATTTGATTTGAATGTTATTGACTTGCTTGGAATCTTCATAACAGTGTTATTGCTTGATAATGATATAATTTAATGTAAAATGTAGCTGTTGGAATTAGTGAAATTATAAGAGTAAATGATAAAATTGATGCTTTATCAGTGATTTTGATAAAATATGTATTTGTGTTTATTTTGATAAGCTATAAATTCAGTCATTTCATTGCTTACTTAAAATCTTACCAAATAAAACAGAGAAATACCAGTGGCGATTTGCAAGCAACTAAGTCCAAGTAGTGGTAATGCAAATAAGATTGACGTGATAACGATGGCTAACTGACCCCAAACACTGTAAAGAAGGATTCTGATATTAGCACTTTCTATCGAAATCAAGAGTGATAGATAAAGAAACATTTATCAACACTCATTATTAACACTAAAAGTGATCACTAATTGATAATACTGCATTAAATATGAATACAATATTATGTTTCTAACCTTTTTATTGGTCAATTTTCATCTTTCTATACTTATTATTATTCTCAAATTAAGTTTGCTAAAATTGAATGTTATTTTTCATGAATATTTCAGAACTTAGTCTTATCAATCAATTACTTTGATAACAATTTATTCTTCGGATAAGTTTTTTGAAATTCGAACCTTCCAAACTTTCTAGCTACAAGGTTTGTATAAAAGTTTTGGACCTTTAAATGAAGCATAAGCTTTAAGCAAGAACATAAATTTTCATGTTTTTTAACGCCCTCAAGCTAATAGACTTAATTTAAATTTTTAATCTATTGCCATGAAAAAAATTACAGTAATTGCATGAGATTCTTATTATACTTTAGTAATATTATAAATGTTAAAATTTAAAAATAAACAGCATTTAATTTTAATTATGTAATTAATCGTAAAATTGAAATAGCTCCGAGTGGATAACAAAAAATATGTTTTAGCTATGAATATATCACCATGTCAAATGTCAGCTTTGATTATCAAACTGTCACTTCACTTTTTTATATATTTGCTTAATTTGTGCAGAAATTATTAAAATATAAACTTTATTCAAACATGGACTAACGTGCTTATTATGCAAATATTTCAGTGAAAGAAACACATTTTTCATCAAATTTTTTTATTCATATCTAGTTAAAAATATTTTAATTAGATTTTAATTACCATTACAAATATATATTGTTGAAAAAACATTTATTTGTAATAATAATTGAAATGTGATTAAAATTTATGAAAACAAGTTTTAAGTAAAAATATTTAATTCAGAGATAATTTTATAAAATAAGTTTTCAATATTTGGCATAAAATTTAGAACGAATGCATTCTCGAGACTAATCAAAGCATTTACTAGTAAAGAACGATAATAAGTAAATTTAATATTTTTTGAATTTAAAGCAATTTGAACTGTGACCTCAATATCCAAGCATAAATTTGCAAAAAGCAAATTAAAAATATTATTACAAAATGTAAAAATAATAATACTTTTGTCCACGATTCTGAAAATGTACTCCGTTACTCCATCTGTTAACACCCATTGGTAGAAAATTCTGATTAGGACAAATTTCATCGCTTGCTCGAAAATCATTGATATAGCGAGTATAGCACACTCCCGGTGCTGTGAATATTAGTATGGCTGAGATGAATACAAGCAACTAAAATTGAATTACTGATAATAATTTGAATTATACTATTTGTTTTTATAAATTTTTGGGTCCAAATTGTTCCTTAAAGACATTTTAATAATTACCGAAAAAAATTCAAAAATTAAAATTAAAATTAAACGTAAAGACAAATTTAAATAATTTAAAAAATTATTACGGATTTTTAAAATTATTACTGTTATTGGATATTTAAAGCAGTCAAATAATTTGAAATTATATTACAGCAATGGGATAAAAATAAAAGATAAAATTTTTTCTAAAACTAAATTTTTTAAATTAAAAATGTTTCTTTATAATAATTAACTTAAAAGTT